CCCCACCCATAGGTCACATTCATTTCCCTTTCCTACTATAAAGCCTGCCCAAACCCTGTTAGCTGAATCTGGATGTCCCCTCCCTCCACGGCACCAGGTAGGATGGTAATGACATGGGTTCCTATATCCAAGAGAGCCAGAAAACGTCTGCGTCCCTCTCTAAGGTTCATCTGGACAGCCTCAGAGGGTATGGATAGCCTAGAGTCCCTCTTGGGAGTCAGGGAGGCCTTGGCCCCATCCCTTACCATTTTTCTCTGTAAACCAGAAGAGTTTGGAGGTGCCAGTAGGGAGGGATGGAGGCGGGGGGCACAGAGGGAGAGAGCAACTCTACCAGTTAATCAGTCACTTTTGGTCACTCTCCCATAGTCAACTGAAAGAACTTCTAGTACTCCTGGTTTATACAGGGCCATATATTGGCAGCCAGGTCATTCCTTACAGGACAATCCATTTTAGCTTTGGGGACTCCTTGGCTCAGCAGTCAGAGCCACGTTGCCTTTCACCTGGAGACACAGGGCTTCCTGCGCCGGTGTCCTGACACACTCCCCTGCCAGCCCAGAGGAGGGGGAACAAACAGTTCACTTGGGTGGCTGATCTCAGTCCCACTTCTTTATGCCCAGTTTCTAAACATTAACTTAAGTTCTTGTCCATTAACAGGTAGGACAGTGGGGATCCTTGCTCCCACCTTCTCCCCATCCACCACTAGGATAACTGTCTGACCCCAGGATACCTCTCATTTTCCAGAGCTCGGTGCTCGGAGTCCTTTACCCACCCTTTCTGGAAAGTCACAGCTCCGTCAGTAGCCCATCCTTGTTGCCGAAACTGTGTAGAACCGTGAGGGCCTGAGGTCTTATCCTACTTGCAAGTTAGTAAGTTGCCTGCCACATTTTAATGGTTGTTGAAGACCTGAGACTCCAGTGGAAGAGATGAAGGCAGTTAATTGCTGTCATTAATAGCAGTAGCTAGAGTATCTGTAATGAGCAGTAGCCTGCCTGTCCTTTGCTCAAGGATACCTTGTATTATTTTACTAAGAGTAAGCATGCCGGTTCCTTTGTTCCAGAGGGAGACATTGTGTCTTTCAACGCTGTTTGCTCTATAGATACCCTTGAAAAATACAGATCAGGGCAAAGGGCAGTCAATACCCCTTTGCAACACATTCGGAAAAGGCAGACCTCTGCAGGCTTGTTTCCCAACATAGGTAAATTATACTTGAATAAACCTGACTCAGAAAAGTACTTGGCTTGTAGTAAGAACGCAACATATATTATCATTGGTCTTCATGTCCTCAATCTATTTTAAGGACCAAACCTATTTGTAGTGACCCTGGTGGAATTTTGAGATTAATTTTCTCTAAGGCAGGTGGTAAGTAACTAAAAACATTTATTCAAAAAGTAATGACTAACATGTTTAGATACCTTTTGACTTAAAAATATCATAAATATATCATATGTGGTCTTTTAAGAATTTCAGGGACAAAGTGAAATATGAGAAAACCACCTTGGGTTGCAAGATACGAGATTGCTTTGTTTATATCACTCTACTTAAGTCCTCAAAATTATGGCAAATTCTAACAAACAAAACAGTGTTAATCACAACATTTTAAAGTGAGGCTTCTTTTCCTTTATATCTTGGGACAAGATAGACTTAGTGGAGTAAAAGAGGCTAACATAGTTGGGGAGAGGTTTAAACTTGCAGATTTGTGTGTGCGTGCGTGGGTGTGTATTTAAGGGGCGAGACTTTATCAATTAGCGCCACCTAATTCCAGTTATTTTTTTGTAAACAAACATTTGAAAAATATTATTTTGAAAGCTAACTTAAGATTATTTGTTACACTTGAACTTGTTTTGACTTAAATATTTAATGTGTACTGGTGCTATATAAATTTATTTACCAAGTTGTTTTTAGAAGTACAGAGAAATCACCTTCTTTTATTCCATTTGAGTTAAGCTGGGCATGAATTTACAGACTTGAAAGTGTAAAATAATCGAGCTGTGGTGGAGCTAGCTCTGAGTTGATAGTGGGTAAAAGTAGGTTGATGCCTCAGAATCAAGGGCTGAAGCATTTTGGAAGTAGTCTTTAATAACTGGAACTTACTATGTTAAAAATGTGAATATAGTAAATGAAAGATTTTTCTTTTTATTTATAGAACAGTATGTTGAAGCAGTAGTCAAACTATGTAGCTTGGGGTTGGCAACCCTTTGAAATGGGTGTGCCGAAGCTCCATTATGGTGTGTGTTGTGGTGACAACTGGCCGCTGTCCTGCCTTTGGTATGTGTCACTGACCCCTTCATAGTAGTCTATTAGCTTATTAAATATATCTTTTAAGGACTTCATTTTAGATGATACCCAGCATTCTTTCTTTATAAGCAACTTTTAAAAATAGTGTATATTATTTTAAAATCAAATTTCATTTTTAAAACCATTCTCAATTTGCCTACTTTGGATGGGTAGCCAGCTTATGTATTTAAATATTTTAAAAATATTTCAGTGCTCCAAAATTCTTCCTGGTTGAGGTATACAAGCAGAACTTTTAGGGGCGTTCTTTCCCTGCGTCTGTTTTTTTCGGAACCCCTCTAGGATCTTATTTGGGCCTCGCAAGCAAGAGATGAAGGGACAGTTTTTTGCCCTCACCAGTGTGGCTCAGTTGGTTGGGCATCATCCTGCAAAGTGAACGGTGGCTGGTCCTATTCCTGGGCAGGATACAAGCCAGGGTGGTGGGCCAGTCCCCATTTAGGGCACGGGCGAGAGGCAGCTGATTGATGTATCTTTCATACATCAGTGTTTCTCTCCCTCTCTTTTTCCCTCCCCTCCCCTCTCTCTAAAATTAAATAAACAAAATCTTTACAAAATTTAAAAAAAGAGATAAACAGTTTTCAAAAATGTAAAACTGGTTGACAGTATTATAGGAAACTGTCCTCAGGTAAAGTAGGGCTGCAACACAGGTCCTGTAAGACAGTTCATTCCAGGCAGTTTTTTCCCTTGTAACAGGTTACATGACACATCAAGCCTTGTTAACTAATTGACTGCACCTAATTTTCATACACACCCTTTCCCTCTTCCTCTGTGAAATGGAAACTGTAAGTAACCTTTTCATAAGATAGCTGACAATACTGGAAAGGAGATGCCAGGAACTAACCATTCATTACTTGTAGTCAATAAATTTAAATATTTAATGTACTCTGGTGTTTCCCAAATATATTTATCAAGTTGCTTTCAAAAGTACAGTGAAATCAACTTCATTTATTCCATTCATTTGGGTTAAAGTGTACATGAGTTTACCTTCATGCCTTCAGCCCCTTGTGTTTAGATATGGCCTTGCTGGATTTCTAGCCAAAGCGAGTTCCTGGTCAGACTTTGGACAATTCTGCTTTCTTTTTTAATCTCTTGTATAGGAATTTCCTGGACCATGGCCTAGTTTTGAAATGCATTTATCAACACACTAAGTTCCTGTCCCCTATCATCCTTCATCTTCTTTCCCACCGCTGGCCCCAGGCAGCCGCTTACCTTCTTTCAATCTCTGGATTTTCCTTCTGGACACTCCTAATAAATGAAATCATATGACATATGAGTATGGCGCGCGCGCGCGCGTGTGTGTGTCTGGTTTCTTTCACTTAATGTTTTTGAGTCTCATCCTTGTTGTTAAGTGTATCACTAAATTGTTTTATTTTGTTGCTGAGTAGTGTTCCATTATATGGATATGACATGTTTTATTTATCCACTAATCAGCTGATGGACATTTGGATTGTTTCTACTTCTTGACTGCTATGAATAATGCTGCTGTGAACATGTGTGTGCAAATATTTGTGTGGCCTTATGTTTTCATGTCTTTTGGGTAGATGCCTAGGAATGGAGTTGTTAGGTCATATAGTAAATTTATGTTTAATTTTTAAAGAAACTGCTAAATCATTGCCCAGAGTGTATCATTTTATATCCCACCAGCAGAGTATGAGGATTTCAGTTTCTCTAAATCCAACACAGTCATTGGCTTTGGATTATAACCATTTTAGTGGTTGTGAAGAGCTCTATCCCTGTGGTTTGAATTTGTACTTCTCTAATGATTAATGATGTACATCTTTTCAAGCCATTTTCATATCTTCTTTTGTGTGTGAAATGTCTATCAGATCTTTTAATTTAAATCTTTTAATTGGGTATCTCGTCTTCCTGAGTTGTTAGAATTCTTGATATGTTCTGGATCCAAGTCTTTTTTTGATACATGATTTGCAGGTTTTTCTCCCAGTCTGTGGCTTGTCTTTTCATTTTCTTAATGGTGTCTTTTGAGGTGCAAGGATTTGGGATTTTGGTGGAGTCCAGTTTATCTTTTTTTTTGAATCATGCTTTTGGTGCTGTGTTTAAGAAATCTTTGCCTAACCAAGCTCATGAGATTTAGTCCCATGTTTTCTTCTAAAAATTTTGTAGTTTTAGCCCTTATATTTATGCCTATGATCTATTTTTAAATAACTTTTTTTAAGATAGCATGAAGTAAATTTCTAAGTTCATCTTTTTGTATATGGAAATCCAGTTGGCTCAGCACAGTTTGTTGACAAGACTCTGCCTTCCCCCATTGTATTTCCTTGGTAGCTTCATTGATAATCAGTTGACCATAGATACATGTGTTTATTTCGGAACTGTCATTTCTGTTTCATTGGTCTGAATGTCTGTCTTTCTGCCAGTACCACTTGTCTTGATTACTGTGGTACTTTCTGCTCCATATTTTAATAATGCAAATAGCATTCTTCTTTTCTATGCTCACATTATAAAAAGTTGAAACAATAGAGAAAAGTAAAGAAGAAAGCAAAAATCGCCATCCAAGTAGTCACTCTTTTCTTGGACATCTTTCCAACATCTCTGCACATATGTGCGTGTTATGTGAGTGCACACATACCCTCTGCAGTTATACATAAAGACACATCAGTGTTTGCCCACGCTCATTGTTCTTGTGTACTTTTTGAGTGAATATGTTTATTGTCAGCTTTAAGAGAGAACTGATTATTTTCTTTCTTCAGGCACTTCTGTAATCCTATGAGTTTTTACTGACATAAACGTCTGAGAAGAGCAAACTTCTTTGGGTAAGAACTATGAATGCTTTCTTATTGGTAGCATGTTAAGTGGAATTTATTTCTCACTTTGTTTGCTGAAAGATGACTTTAAAACACATTTTTAAATGTGTGCTTTGTGAATGGATGGCAAATTATGCATGAGACTTTAACAGAATTAATCCCTAAATCCATTTTTAAACATTGAAAGTTTCCTTAAATCTGCTCTTGAGCATTATATTAACTTTTTGGCAGCTGTGATAAGGCGTGTGGAGTCAGTAAATATGTATGTGTGGTGATAGAGTTTTATTTGCAGTCATATGGGACTGATCTGACAGGAGCTTGATTTTACCGTGTTAATAAAGTAGTAGCGACTCCTTTGCACTTTGTGAATTCAGGCTTGTAACCCCAGGGAATCCTGTTCCTGAGATCCTCTCAGTAGCCGTCATGGAACTGTCACCAGGCTCTGAAGCCCTTCTCATCTGAGGGCAGGTCAGATCTCAGACACTCCCCTGACGTTCACATTTTCCTCGCAGTATGAATTTTTTATATGATGGATACGTGGTTTAACATCTCATTTAGGGATGTAGCAGGTATAGGAGGCCGTATAGATTATGCTTAATTTAAAAAGATCGGACCTTCGTCTCTGGTAGTCGGGAGCCACAGGTTGTGAGTGTGCGGAGTGGCACAACGGGTCGGGTCTCAGAGAGCCACCCGCACGTTGGTGGCGTGGAGATTCTGTGTCTCACAAAGGCATGCTGAGATTGTGCGGGAGGTGGGTTGCCGCTGAAATTATTTAAATGAGGGCGCACGCTTTTAAAAAGTTAAAACTTGAAATAAGAAAATTTCAGATTACAAATGAATTCTTTATAGCAAGGAAAGCAGTACAGTAAAATGTTAATGGCAGCTCCATGTGTGTGTGGGTTATGGATTTTTCTTCCTGCTTTTTATCGGAAATTTAGAAAAATGTTAAATACAAGGTGGGGCAAGAGTAGGTTTATAGTTTTATGTACTGAAAGAGTTTATTCTTGCATTATTATTTGTTAATTAATGTAAACCGTAAACTTACTTTTGCCCACCCTGTGTATTATGTAATAAGATGGTAAAGTGGAGCTCTCTTACTCTTAGCTTGGCCTTAAGTCGGTACTGTGAGTTGTAAGAATACCATGCAGGTCTTTCAAAAGGAAGAGCCAGAATATGGATTTTGTGACTTCTAACACCTACCCCGTTTTCATTGGTATGAAAAGATTCAGGGAATTGGGAATTAATTCTCTTTTATTTCTCATGCAAGGATATGTTTATTGATTTTAGAGAGAGAGGAAGGGGAAAGAGAGAGACAGACAGACAGACACCCAGACTTTGATGGGTTGCCTCCTGGACGCCCTGGGACTAGGGATTGAATCTATAACCTCTTGGTACAAGACTACGTTCCAGCGAACTGAGCCACCTGGCCAGGGCGAAAGTTCGAAGAGTTTTTGAAGTGAGTTGTTGGAAATCAGAGAAGAGTTTGTGAACCAAGTTGTCGGTGTGGTGTGCGAGGAGTTTCTCCTACTCTTCCGCTGCCATCTTGGAGTGCTCCCCCTCAAGTGCAGGGCCTTCATGGTAACGACTTGGGGAGCTCGGGGGGCATGGGGTGAAAATCTGTCTCACTTGGGCTTGGGTGAAAGACAGGCTGGCAGTTCTGGCCGCACAGCAAAGCGAGGTTCCTGTGCAGGAGGATGGTTTAAAATCTCATTTAGGGAATCCCAAAGTTCTCTGGGGCAGGGGGTACATGTTTCCCATAGACCTGCAAGCCCACAGGATCAGGGAGCCGTGGGGCAGGTGGAGGGGGCAGTGCTAGAGGAGTAAATGACTGGATTGCCGGAGGGGGTGCCTCTTCCCTCTCGAGGGCATTGTTGCCAGGGGAGATCCCTCCCCAGGGCCTGAGTGTTGAGAGCTTCCAAGGAATCCCAAAAACATGCCCGGCCGGGTCAGCTTTCCACTCACGCTTCGAGCCTGGAGAGTGCGTGTGCCCTCCAGTGACACCCGGGTGGAAGGGAGAAGGATGAAGTGGTCTCCTGCACCTCGTGGGCGAGCCTGGCATGGGGAGAAGCTGCAGCCTTGAATGGAAAACTGTGATGACTATGCTAAACTGGATCTCTCAGTTTCTAAACTCATATCTTTAACAGCTTGAAAATGACCAGTCACCGGCCTACATAAAAGTTCAGGGACATAAACTGTTGCCACAGAATAACTTTAAAGGACAGTGGTGGACAAAAAGTTGCTTTCAGGTTATATCCCACAGATTCTGCTTGTTCAGGGTAATGGTTACAGTTGTCTTTCTAATAAGAAACATATCAGTGAAAATGAAATTTTATTAGAAGAATATGTCCATTGAGGCATTTTGTCATGGGATAAAGTGTCATCAACTTTGGAACCAGGCAGATCTTTGCTTAAGTCAGATCAACCCCTTATTAGCACTGACATTAGGTAAATAAATAAATTATTTTTAAAGATTTTATTTATGTATTTATTTACTTTTAGAGAGAGATGAAGGCAGGGAGAAATGGAGAGAAACATCGGTTTCCTCTTGCACGTGCCCCAACCTGAGACTGGCCCACAACCCAGGCATGTGCCCTGACTGATAATTGAACCAGCAACCTTTCGCTTTGCCGGATGATGCTCAGCCCACTGAGCCAAGCCAGTCAGGACAAGTAAACCAATTTTTGAGGTTGATTTTCCTCATTTACTTTTTTATAAATAGGGTTACATTGCCCATTTTATAGTGTTGATGAAAAAATTATGATTTATAGTGAAATGTGTGATATAGAGCAGGTAATCACAAATATTACTAATCCTCGTCCTTCATTATAGCAAGGATTTCCTATAGTTTAAATATGTCCTTGGTCTTTTTAACATGTGTTTTACTTCTTATAAATGTATTCCTTAAAAATGCCAAATGGTTTAGTGGAATCAGTATGACTACAGGATACTATCAAGGGTGTTAGTTTCAGCAGAGCTAAAATTTCCACTTTTGATTTGAAATGTGAAGGATATTCAGAAAGAATGGGAAGTAGTTTTACTTATGTGTTGGTTTTTAGTGAGGAAGCTTATGAATCAGGCATCTAAAGAAGAGGTAGGTCCAGGAGGAGAATCTTTCCATTGTTCTTAGAGGGATGTGGAATATATAAAACAAAAAGACGGCATCTCATAGCAGAGAGAACTGCTACTAAGGACTTTTCTTTTAGTTCTTTATTTGACTGATACATTTTAAAACAATGTTGTTTTGTCACCTGTTCTTTGTGGATGTTCTCATTTTTTTAATGTTCAAATTTTGTACTTTAAAACAAAATTTTAGTTTTAATGAATAGGCACCTCTTCAATGTATCAAAAGCTGATTTGTATCATCTTCATCGTGATAGCATATTTGATCATTTATACTCTGCACCTTAGAGTTACATTTGTAACATAGTTTTGCTTCTTGGTTAGAAATGGGTTTAAATTAGGAAGGAAATTATAGGTGGCTTTTTACTTAAGTCCAGAATATTCTGTATAATTCAGTTGAGGGTCTTTGGTTGCAAGTTGCAGAAACTGACAGGGTAACTTGGGTGGAAGGAGAATTTATTGGGGCGATGGCATGTAGCTCAGGTAACCGAAGGAGGTTGAGCATCAGGAAGCTAGTCCAGTTCACGTTGTTTACCAGTCTGATGAGGACGTTGTGGCACTGATCTGTTCCCGCCACTGTGAATGATTTCTCAAGTTCCCTTTTTTTGGGAGCATTCTCTCAAGATAGGAAGCTGTGGGGGTGAAGGTGCAGTGTTTGTGGGCTCACACTTCCTGGCCTCCACTCTGTGCTCCGTGGACCCTCCCTGTCTTCAGTTGGAGGCCCTTACATGGCACTAACGGAACTGCTTTTCTGTAACCCGATACCTGCTCCTTCTCATCCAGGCAGGTTGTCTTAGAAATTGTTCCATAATCTGCACTTACTTGCTTGATGTATCCTTATAAATAGAATCAGGTTAAACATATTGGACAATTATTTTACATAGGTTAATATTGAGACTTCCCATTGTGTCACATCATGAGGCACATGATGTCTGTCACATTTTGGTGATAATAAGTTGGATCCCTTGATTAAGGTCTGCCATTCCCCCCTCCCCCCAATTTTTAAAGGCACATTTCCTCCTTCAGTTAGTAAAGAATCGGTAGTGTTGTACTTTTGGACCATGTGAATATATGGTTCCCCCAAACATTTCACCTAATAGTTTCATTGGAGAGGGCAGGCACTTTAATATAATAATGGCCATTAATGTGTTTCTGAATAATAGCTGTTAATTATTATTAAGAAGTTATCGAATAAAAAAAACCCCAATGTTAGTTTTTAATACAGGAAGGTTAAGCAAATAACTCATAATCATAAAGCTCAAATCTTGAAGCAGGTTTCAGCAACATTAATAATCAGTCCCTAATTTGGAATTTAAAGGTAGTAATTGTATGGCTATTTTGTATAATTGTATATTTAACTTTTCTTCATAAGACTAATAATGCCTGAGAAAAAGGTACCTTAGGAAGGAGGCTGGGTGTGCTAGCTAAAATAAATATCTGTACTGATGACTTCAGTAATGAATACTTTATTTGTCATTTAGTATGGATTATCAGTAATTCTTTCCATAATCATAGTTTCAATACATACAGTTTATTCCTAGCCATACCGGCACCTTTTAAAGTGTTGCCTGTTAATTCCAGGAAGCCACGTCTGCTTCCCAGTTGACTGAAAATTGTTATATACTATCTCTTGATCAAGATAGAATGAATTCCTAAGAATGTAAATTAAAACAGAAGCTATACAATAAAAGCTGTTACATCTGGTAGAAATTAAGTGAAAAGGAAAGGAGGAAAATGAAAGATGTACAGATTTTTGTAAGATTTAACTGAATAAGCACAGCAACCAATGGTAAAATGTTGAGTATATTATGAGTTAATGTTTTCAGAATTAAGTTCATTATATTCAAAATTATATCATGTATTAATTTTTTCTAGTCTGAAATATCTAG